CCTATAATGATGACTGAGACGTGCAGTAGAATTGTGTAGGGGTTCAGTTTTTCAACTGTTTGCTTACCAACTATGACTTGGTTTGATCGCTTGCTCTTGACAGTCGTCTATGCAACTAGTTCAGGGAATCAGAATGAGAGATAGAGCATATAGGTAGCCATGTGAGATTTGAGCCTGCTCGTTTCTTTCTTGTGCGATAGTTCCCTCTTCCATGATGTGTAGCATTCACGTTGTCACTAGCTAAGATGATGGAGGCATAGGATTAGCCCACAACCAAATTGACTGTCCTGGTGTGTCATAACCCCTAGTCAGCCCCTTTGAGCCGTGTCACTTTCTTTCTTTCGGTTTATAATGGAAAATCACCCTTTTGCATCTCTTAGAAGGTTCCACGGAGTGGTTTTTGCATGTTCTCTGCTGTTTCTGCTAAAAACAATGTGAGGATTGGAGGTAGTTTTTAAAAAGTTGGGCATGTGTTTGAAAAATGTGCAGAGGTGGTGGTTCTCTCAAGAAATGAAAAAAAGAAGAAAAAAATGGATGAAAGCTAAAGAGAGCCACTACCAAAAATCTGAATCATGCTCATTAATTAGTGTTTCTTAGCAGTCTGGCTTAGAAATACTAACATTATTGTGACCTCCTTCGCTCTTGTGCTCTAAAGAATTTGAGTAATGCAGAATGGCAGAAAGAAAGTAATTGGGTTGATTGGCTGTGAATGTGTTGGGTTTGGAACTGTGGAACCTTATGCTATGAATACTTCCACCACCTAAAAGGCCTTTTACCCATGTCCAAGACCCTAGCTAGTCATTTGAACATGTGTCTAAGACCTCCGCATTAGTTAGTGATGACACCCATTTATGTGGACTCTAACATTTAGAGACTGCCGTCATGGTGAAGAGGCGTTATGAATTGAGAGAATAAGTATGTGCATTTTTCACATCAAATTGTCCTGACCCCACTGGTAGAGAGTGAGCGATTCATTTCCTTGTTCTTTACACTCTTTACCCCGGTGAGGACCTAGATGGCTCGGTCTTGATTCTGATGTCTTGAGTTTTATGCATGAGCTGACTGTCTTGAATAAGTGGTTGAGTCAAGTCTAGGTTGGTTGGTGAATAGAAGGGAGACTCTTCCTTTACCCAATTTTGCTGCACTTGAATGTCCTTTGTGGTGGTCGTCCAGGTTTCTGTTGAAGTTGTTCATGTGTTGATGTCTAAAAGCAAGTATGATTCCCGTGTTTCGTGCTTATATGATATGTCATCAAGGGTTTCATGATTGAAATGTGTTGAGCTTTCCTTATATCTGACTTGGTTTGCTTGGGGACTAGCAAACGGTTAAGTGTGGGGGAATTTGATAACGTCGTATTTGCACATGTTTGCACCCTCGTTTCTTCATCATTTTGGCTAGAGTTTTTGATTTCTTGGACTATTTTACGCTAGGTTGTGTTCCTTTGTCACATTTCAGGTCCTAGCATGTAAATTGGAGCAAAAACGCAAGTTTCAAGTCAATCGGAATTCATTTAGCAATTCGGGAGAAGAAACACAAATATGACCTGAGGAATAATGGATTTCTACCTCATTTTATGGACAAACAATCATGGAAGTTTTTTATGAAAAGAAAGAGGACGAGACTACGAGCGTCTGGGTTCAAACGACGACTGATTCGGAGTCCGAACAAGGGAGAAACGAAGCATTAATCAGGAGCGGAGGAAGAATCACGGGCAGCCCCTGCCCAATTACGGGCGTAATTGCTTCTGTCATGCCCGTAAATGCAATGCCGAGCCTAAATCCCTCAGAATTCCTGTCGCAGAGCAAATTACGGGCAAAGAGTGGACTCATTTACGATCGTAATTACTTAAATACTGGCAGTAATTGGGTAATTACGACCATAAATACCTTCCTCAGAGTTTAGTGAAACGCGCGTTTTGGGTGAATTACGGGCAGACCATGATTACGACCGTAATTCATCCCGTATTTCACCCAGAATCGGGTTTTTGAGGCAGATTCGAGCCAAAGGAGAGGGAATCAACTTTTTTGGAGCAAAAACAGAGTTTTAGAGAGAGAAAGTGCAAAGAACAAACCCTATGAGCTATTTGGAGTGGATTTCTCATCATTGAAGCCCATATTGCATCCCCAAGAGTGAAGATTGACATCCCATAGCAGATTTTCTCATCTTTATGAGTATGACTACTCTGATTTCTGTTTTCCTCTCTCTCTCTCTCTCTCTATGGAGTAGAACTTTCTCTCACTTGGGTATGAAGAACCCTAATTCCATGTGTTAGGGATCTTGTTTGTAATGACTTGGGATTGTTATACTGATTGATTTTAATCGATTGATGCATGATTCATTGAGTCAATTAAAGTCTGATCATCTTTTCTTGATTTCTACTGCAACCTGAGATAGATAGAATATGATTAGGTTGTTAGAGCTTCATCAATTGGTAGTGGTAGATTGATTATACGAGAGTTAATCGATTTACTGCTTTGTACTGGAATCCAATTCCAGTAGTGGAGTTCTGTGTTCATAGCCTTAGCTTTCTATCCCGTTGAAGACTAGTCGTCTGCCGGGTAGTTGGACTGAGAGGGCCATGTCAGCTTAAGAGATTCCAAGCTACTGTCGGATCTTCCGCAGTTTAATCAACAATTAATCAACCTAGGGTAATTACAACAGTGACCTAACTAAGGAGCTAGGGGGATTCATTCCCGAGTGACTCTTCCCTTGCTTTAGAAAACCGAACCATTTCCTGCTTTCTTACTACTTTTAGTTAAAATCACAATCACTCGACTAATTTTGCTAGATAATATATATTCACGGAGTAAGCAGTAGATCTAGACCTCGGGTTGACAATTAGAGCTTGCCTGTTACTGCATTTTCGGACTGCGATTACACTTGGTTGCAGTTTGGTGTTGTGTTTTAGCGTGTCAGCCGTGTTTCAGTGTGTTTCAGACTCTAATAGGTGGAACAAATCCCGAGGGCGAAGGTTGGAAGAAAAGGCGCAAAGATCGGGCAAAAGGACGGAAGCAGCTGAAGATCACGGCGGGAGCGGTGAGTTCACAGTCATCAAGACCATGATTTGAAGCCTAAAATCGTGATCCTGCTGGATTCCAGAGCAATTTTGCACGTCACTGGATCAAGTCAGTTCACGGTCGTGTGACCGTGACCTGAAGCTCACGACCGTGAACTTCTTAAATGAAACGGTGCATCTTGGCTCGAAATCACGGTCCCAGCCATCAGTTCACGGCAGTGAACTAGGACTGTGAACTAAGCGCGGCCTGGGTATATAAAGGGAGCTGAAATGAGGAAGACGAGAGAGAGCCTAGTGTGAGAAAAAACCTTATTCTTCTCCAATTCTAGAGAGTGAAAGCAAAGAACAAGGAGCAAGAAGAGGCTAGGGTTTCATATTCAAGCAAGGATTGGGAAGATCTCTTCAAGAGGGGATCAATTCAAGCAAAAAGGAGGATTTAAGCATCCCTTATAATGGTTTTTTCCACTTTCCTTTGTGTTTTCCCTTCTTCTAGCATAGAGTAGTCACCCTTTTCACTTGGGTGTTGTAGAACCCTAACTTCTACCATGTAGTGATTGTGTGGATTGGATGATTATGTGTGAGAGTGGTGTTCCCTTGGGTGTTGTAGAACCCTAACTTCTATCATTGATGTAGCTATAATAAATTTTTTGTATAATGGAAGAACATCAACCATAACATTACAAAAAGGCATAGGTTAATTTGAGATGGGTTACTATGAAACATAGGTTAATTTAACATCAATATTAAAAAATTCATTATCAAAAGTACATTAGGAACCCAACAAATTAAACAAAAATCTGCCAAGTTTTGAAAATATCAAAATCCAGTTTCTGACTAATTAATTACCCGAAGTATTTTTAATTAATTAATTCTGGATAATTAATTGATATTTGATTTTGTGAAACGACGTAATCCTTCGGAAGGGAACTGTCGTTTTTCACAATAAAGGAGCTTATGGCCAGAAGTCTTCTTCCAACGTTCATATTCTTCTCTTCGTTTTTCGTTCGCCAAAACACAAACATAGAAGCCTGAAAGGTGGTGCTTTCGTACATTGATTGAAGGGACTCCTGGTGGTGGTTTTCCTAAATCCTACCAGCAATTTCGTAGTGGGGGCAAATAACACTCTAAGGAGAGTGATTAAATCATGCCTTCAATCTCTTCCCTACTGTTTCCCTGACAGAAAATACTATATTACTAATTAAGTGCATTGATATGTGGATCTTGCAATATTGAATGTTTTTATTTTCTTCATGATACAATATTTTTTTAAAGATGTAATGGTATGCATGAATTTTAATAGATTATATAACAATATAAAAAATAGATTATCACATGTTCACCTTTACCATGAGGTTGATTTAGTCAGCTTCTGGAAACCTTGCACAAATATGTATGCGTTGAGAGATACTCTTTAGTGTTTAAGTTAGAAAGAGATGAGAGTAAAAAGCAGAATATATAGAGAGAGGGAAGTAGTCAAGTAGTTGAACTTTCATTAAATGTTCATTGGCATAATTAGTAGTCTTTTTTTTACTACAAAGGTAATGAACTCAAATAAAAGGAAACCAAAGGAAAGTTACCACCCGCAAAATCACAAGAAGTTTGCTGACGTGTCAATTAGAAAATAAAAATTAAAGTTATCACAAGTGGCAGTCAACTATAATGTTTGATTGTTAAGTTCGTTGACGTGTCAATAAGAAAATAAAAATAAAATTCATAAAAAAAAATATAACGAGGGTCGCTTCTCTCTCCCACACAATTTGATAAAGTGAGTGACCAAACGTGTGATTTAGCTCTTTAACAATGGAGGCTTAATTGATGTAAATTCTTGTTAATGGTGTTACTACATGATAACCCATAAACGTAGAAGTTTACAGATTTTGCTAATTTATAGTCAATTTGAAAAGTTTGACTAATAAACTGTATTTATTAATACTCACTCAATCTTTCCTTTTAACAATGCAGAGAAGTTTAGGGACACTAAATAATGTCTGATTTAGGTGTCAATGCAGGATCCGAAATCTGGCACTCTGACCTGGCCCCCATTACTCCAGGATGGGCCATTTTTCGAATCGTTGCGTACGTTATCCTTGGCGTTGGTGCCGTGGTGTACTTCGTCTATCAGTGTTTCTTCCACCACCAGCAGGTTCCGGGAGGGAATCCGGATCCTGTCGGAGCCGACGACGATGGTGTTGTCACCGCGGAGCTGGAGCTAGTCGTGTATGAGCAGAGGAACTTCAGAGACTCGTCGAAGCAGCTGGGTACCAGAGTTAGCCCAAACTGCTCCATTTGCTTGGAGTCGTTCGCATAGCAGGATGTCGTCTTCGTCTTCCCAAGCTGCAAGCACGTCTTTCACCACGCGTGCGTTTCCAGCTGGGTAGTCACGTGACGTCAGACAGGTCCACTGGTCTTCCCGTTGTGTCGTCCGGGTGTGGAGGTCGTCATAGCGACCTGAGAGTGGTCTTCTTAGGAAATATTAATCTTAATATTGTTATGATTAGTAGCAAATTAGCATAGGTAACATTAGCTATAGTTTTTTTTTATAAGGGCGATGATTATAACTAGTGACAAAAATTTATTATATAACTAAAGTTATAGTATAACTAGTTGTATAACCAGGGGCAGAGCTAGGATTTGATGTTTGGGGGCCGAAATTTGTTTCGTTTACTAGTAGGAAAATGTGAATTATATGATCACGTTATTAAATTATATGACAAAAAATAAATTTCTACGTTATTATGTTCCAAACAAGGGTAAGAGTGGTACTCGAGTCACCTAATGTCAACCAGTTAGCTCTTGATTTTCGCATGAAAAAGTTCTCCACGGCCAGCTGCAGAGTTTGATACTCTTGTGTTGCCAACAGCTCCTCCTCAAACGAAGCCTCAGATGGGTAAAGCTTCAACTTCAGCACATTTCATCTGCCATGCTGCTGTTTTAACTCACCAGAAATATCAGAAAAGCATCTGATCAACTTCTTAAGCTTCAACTTTGATGCTTTAAGTTCAAATCGGACATCCTTTAATACTTAACCACACCAAGTTCAAATGGGACTGTTCGAACAAGCATTAAACCGCAATGATCGGAAAAGTAAAGCGCCAAATATTCAACAACACACTCAAGAATGCTGGAAATCCAAACAATATTCTCCGATACTCTATCAAGTTTTCTAGCTATGGAGTTTTTCTGTAGCAAATTTGATCGGGTGAACATGTGTCTTAAAGCACGTGGCTCTTTGAACGTCAAACATGACTTCCAATGGTTCTCAAGGATGAAAGACCGGTAATATATACATTACAAACCATTGAACTTCTTGAAAGCATATAAAGGATGCAAAGGTATTGACAGTTCTGAGAATTATCGAACCCAATTACAGCACTATCAGTTGGCCGCACTAATAAAATGAAGTATTTTTTTTATAATGATGATGAACTTTATTGAGAAGAAACAAACAAGAGAGTCAACACTCCACAAGCAGTGAGAGTGAACAATAAAAAAACAAGAGCACTTAGCATTATATTGTTGTGTCATGACTTCTTTTATCTACAAAAGATATAAAGGAGATTCATGGGTTGGGATTGCAGCTAGGGGTCGCGGTTCAGTTATCGGTTACCGGTTAACCGGTCAGTTAAATCGATACCCTGCCGGTTATCCACTAACCGGTAACCGTTATAGTCGAAATTCGGTCGGTTAACGGAGGCTGGACGAGATGGTTTTGGTCCTGGCAGTGGTTTGGTTAATCGAGAAACCGAAGCCTATTTCGGTCGGTGGTCTGAAGGGGGGTTGATAGACCATTAATTACACATGTTTTTACCCCTATTCTTGAGCCGTTTGAGACATTGATTCTCGTGTTTTAAGTCGATTTCACGCTAGGTGGTGCGTTTATGTCATATTTCAGGGCTTAGCGTTGGCATCGAGGCAAAGGAACGAGATTCGGGTCGAAAGGAGCAAGTGAGGTTTGAAGTGTGCTGGAGAGCAAAAATACCCGGCCATGAGCAGAAATACCCGGCCGGGTATTATTTGGCCATGACCGGGGATTTGACGCTCTGGGCGTCTTTGAGAAACAGAAGGGGGCCCGGGCAGGAAGAAGAAATCCCCGGTCGGGGATTATTGGACATGACCGGGGATTTTCCCCTTTAACCCGACGATGCGTTTTGCACATACCCGGTCGCCACCAAAAATACCCGACCGGTATTTAGAGCGGGGATCGCGACAGACAGCTTATTAAGGGAAAAGAAGGCCAAAGGTAAAGGGTTCCGAGTTTTAGAGAGACAGAGCGATTCCTAGAGAGAGAAAGCGACGAACAAGAGTTCCCAAGTGCCCTAGATTGATCTTCATCACCATTGGAGCTCGGCTCACACTTGGAGAAGTGCCGATTGACAACCAGGAGCAGAACCCCATCTTTCACAGTATGGTTTCCGCATCTGAATCTGCTTTTGCTTCTCTCTCCATGGAGTAGTTTTCCCATTCATCTGGGTATGGAGAACCCTAGATTTGTATGCTAGGTCTGATTGTATGAACCCAAGTACAGATTGTATGATTTGATTATATTCAATTGGGGCTTGAATGATTGAATGACTTGAATCCTGTTGAAATTCCTGTTATTTCTGCTTTAGCCTAGAAAAAGAATATCTGCCTAGGTTGATAGAGCACCTTTAATTGAAGGTCGTGAATTGGTGACTTTAGTCGAGGAGCTAATTCTCTATTCTGTATCGAATTTACTTCGGTAGTGGAGGTTTGGTTCGTTAGGGCCTCAAACTGTTTACTCCGGTGGAGGTTAGTCGCCCACTGGGGACTCAGATTAAGAGAGTCTGGAGAATTTTAGTCGAGACTTCAGACTGTTTAAGAACCTTCCGCAGTATAACTATCATAGAAACTAAACTTGGTAAATTACAATCCGGCTTAACTGCAGTCTAGGGGGAACCATATCCGGGTGACCTCTCTCGACTTGAAAACAACCGTTTAATTGCTTTCTTGTTTACTTGTTTGAACCTGCACTAAAGTTACACCGCTAAATAATAAGAATTCGCTGAGTAGTCATCACATCTAGGACCCGGGTTGACATTAAAACCCAAACCCGCTATACTACGCTTTAGGAAGTGGTTACACTTGGCCATTTTCTAGAGTGACAGTAGGAGTGGGTCAAGTTTTTGGCCCTGTTGCCGGGGACGGCTAGGTTGTTGAAGAAGCGTGAATTCTGTTAGTTTAGCTTTTCGTTTTAGCATTGTTTGCTTTGTTACACTTGTGCCTTCACGGGTTTGCTTGCTTGACTGTGTGCAGGTAGTGCATGGCCCGTAGCCAGTCGGGAGGTTTACTGCCGTTGGATCCGGAGCTTGAACGCACCTGTCGCCAACTCAGGAGACAATAGCGAGCTAGACTAGCTACGGAGGAGCGCATAGACGGCCACTTGAGTAGCGAGTCCGAGGAAGAGTACGAGATGGAAGGAGATCACAATCCACACCAGGGGAATCCTCACCAGGTTCCCCCGGTAAATTAGATCTTGGGGAACAATCCCATACCCCAGGCAGATGGGGTTCATCATCATCCACCGCCGTCGGGTCCCACCTTGGAGTACTACTACACTCCACGGATTGCTGACATCCGCCCTGTCATCCTCTATTCGCCCATTCCAGCGAACAACTTTGAGATCAAGCCATGCTGGATTCAACTCATTACATCCTCTATCCAGTTCCATGGCTTGAAGGATGAGGAGGCGAGGGTGCATCTTTCCCGTTTTCTGCAGCTGACGAACGGGTTCAAGCTAAACGGTGTCCCTGATGACGCAATCCGCCTTCACCTCTTCCCCCATTCTGTGGCGGGGAATGCTAAGAGGTGGTTGGAGACCCAGCCCCCATTGTCCATCACTTCTTGGGACGATCTGGCCAATAAGTTCATGCACAGGTACTATCCGGCATCGAAGACCACAGAGATCCAACGGGAGATCACTCACTTCCGCCAAGAGCCAGACGAGTCACTTTGTGATGCATGGGAGCGGTACATGGGATTTTTCTGGCAGTGTCCCCATCATGGCTTCAGTGATGCATTCACCGTGGGGAACTTCTACAGTGCTCTCTCTCTCCGGACAGCCAGAGGGTGATTGAGTCTCTATGCCCAGGAGGGGATATTCTTACTAAGACCCCACCCGAACTGAACCAGATGATCAGTACATTGGCTGCCAGAGATCATTCCTGGGGGCAGGGCACCAGAGGCAGGAATTCCAGGGACCGTGGTGTGCACGCCATAGAGGCCAGGTCCGGGCTTGAGCAGCAGGTGGCCGAGTTGGTGCAGACATTCAAGCAGCCCAACAGTCTTATTCCGGGCAGAGGTTTGGCTACACCTCCAGTAGCTCAATGTCAGTGGTGTGAGAGCTCAAATCATCTGGTGGAAGACTACCAGGCTATGCGGGAGTCAACTACTCCCCAAGAGCAGTTGGATTTCATCGCCAATGCTCGGCGCTTTGACCCCTACAGCAATACATACAATGAGGGGTGGCGCTCGCATCCCAACTTCGCTTGGAATAGCAACACCACTAAGCCACCTGGTTTCCCAGCACCAGCAGGTGGTTTTCAGCAGAGGCAGCGTTTCCAGGCTAGACAGGGGCCAGTCCCTCAGCAGCAGCCTCAGCGTTAGTATGCCGAGCCAGCAGCAGCCCCGGCTCCAGATAATCAGATGACGGAGCTGAAAAACATTCTAGCGGCATTCATGACTACCACCCAGGAAACTTTCACGAGGATGGACTAGAGCATAGCCTCACTGGAGGGAGGACAGAGGAACCAAGGTGCCGTTTTGCAAGATTTACAGAACCATATGGGTAGCATGGCTCGCCAAATTAATACCCGAGCCCCGGGAACTCTACCTGCCACTACCATCCCCAATCCACGGGAGCCGCACCAGCAGCTGAATGCCATCACCACCAGGAGTGGCAAGTCCACATCGGCGGTACCTGCCCAGGCTAGGGAGGAAGATCCACTGCCTGCTTCAGTACTTCCAGGCGATGATATAGAAGTGGGGGGGAGAAGGAAGCCCCTGCTCCCAAGCCACAACCAGTGGTTAAGGAGCATGTACCCCAGCTTCCCTTCCCCACTCGACGACATAAAGATAAGCTGGAGACTGAGTTTGCCAAGTTCATGGCAATGTTGAAGTAGCTTGATGTCAGCATACCCTTCATGGAGGCACTGTCAAAGATGCCCAAGTATGCCAAGTTCCTGAAGGATCTCCTCAGCAACAAGAAGAAACTTGGGGATCTTTCGACAGTGATGCTGAGCGAAGAGTGTTCTGCCATCTTGCAGAACAAGATGCCCGAAAAGCGCAAGG